AAAAAAAAGGCCCAAAAGCTGATGACACAAGTGGATAAAGAAAGACGATGATAGATATTAACCGACACTGCATCTCAAACATGACATAAGTGCCAATAACGGTTTCCTCTAAAGAAATCTTGCCAAGTTAAAACTTCTGACTATGATTTGCAAGCCATGGCTTATTCCAGACTTCCCGTTGTGTGATAGAAGGCACATTTTATAGAGACAGACAGACGTGTATTTGCGTCTTGATATGCATCTTTTAATATTACAGTATGTGATGCTCAGCATGCACAGGAAAGCCCAAGCAGACAGCCACATACTTAGTCATTTCCCATTTCACTGCAGGACCAATAAGTAGGGCCATGATACTGTCTGATAGCGATTTTTGCCAGTCTGCAAAAAATGACATTTAATGGGTGGATTTTTTTTTTTGGCTTGCCCTTCAAAGCGATAAATCGGTATCCGCTTTCCATGGTAAGACGAAGTGCCTTGCTCAATCTTTGATATGGCAGTGATAAAAAAGACTGACTTTTATTTACTTTACAGTTTTGCAACTAGGAGGCTTCTGCAGCACAATCATATCTAGTGAACCACAACGAAGAGGAACATCGTTTTTCATGGTTGAAGAACTTCTTCCTCGGCAAGAAAAAAGCAAAACAAAAAGAAGAAAGAAAAAAAACTACTTAAAAATTTATATTCACCAACTTTAAGGGTCTACTGATCAAATCAGTCATGCAAAAATGCAATCTATTTTAAAGCCCTGAACCCACAGGCAAATGTTATTAACCTTTCAATGTAAATCACACGGAGCACATTTGTATCAAAAGGGAAATTATTTCAAAGGAACAGGAAAAGCATACGTCTGTAGTTCTTAATAACTTATCTGCCAACACGTTTACAGTTTCACTATTGATCAAACCTTATGAACTTCTGTTCATAAGGTGACTCTTGTCCGTTTGTGAGAGAGAGAAAAAAGCAGAAATAAGCTGTTTAAGAAATCTTCCGCAACTACTGTGCAACTACGGGATCTGCTGTACTAACGCCTGCATGATCACCTGTCACAAAAATCCACCTGCTCCATTACGTACACAGCTCTGAGAATTTCTATAGATGCTTCCTTCGTCTCAAGCTGGGAACCAGTTACTCCATCTATAAACAACTGATTTCATCTTAAAACCATCCGTGTAATGGAGCCCAGATTAGAAATAATGAATTCCACTGGGGATAAACAGTCCCGTCGTAGGCAAGTTCGCTTTTACCAGAGAAAAAAAAATAGAGCAGTCTGGGAAAACCGCTAAAGAGTTCACATTAATCCAATCAAACTCTTCTTCATCAATTAGTCTACTTCTAAAGACAGAAGTGGACACAGTCGCTGAAGCACATTGGAAAAAAGAATAGGTTCATGCGTCGCTGAGTAATAAATTCAGAGCTAACAGTCTGCGCCTAAAAATAACCTCAGCAACATTTTTTTTTAGTGTGGACCCCCTCACAGTGAGTGCGTTTAAAAGCGCTGAGTTCACGTTTCTCCTCTAAGCAGTGGCTCGAGGAAAGTTTCTCTTGTGCTGGAGGAAAAAATAGTTTTTAAATTCCTGTTATCCACTTACCCTTTTCAGTCGTCAGTGTCCGTGTCACTGAGACACGCCAGGAGTGGGTTTGCCTTCGAGGTGGGATTAGAAGACACAACTGCGACGCCGAACAGCGAATAACACTTTATTTTTTTTCTCACTGTTGAAGAGCAACAGCGGCTACGCGCATGCATCCGCACTTACGTGCAAGTGAAGGAAGTGCTTTCCTTTCAAAATAAACAGACCCGCGGCGAGTTTAGCCGACTGTTTGTTTTACTTTGAAGGCTACACCTTTGTCCTTTCTGCCTTAACGCGGATAATTTTACTGTCGAAGAATTTCCGTAAGACCGTCATGTGACCATCGAGAAAGACTGGACAACCCAGTTAGTTTTCATCCACGTTCCCCATACACCGCTTACTTTTTACACACAATACAAAAAAAGACTGAGCAGTGGTATTTTTTAAACTTCTGCTATTGCAAATACTCTACTTAAAGTCGGCGTGTTTTGGAGAACTAAAACCATCCCCATAACCCTCAATGGGACTGCTAATAAAATTTTACACTGTATTTTTATTATACTTTTTTTCTGGGTTGGGGGGCATCAATAAACAAACAAAATAAATACCAAATAAACAAATGACAAGTATTATAACCAGTAATATTTAAGTAATATTTATTTGTACAGGTTTCTGTCCAGTGTACGGCTCCACTAGGTTGTGTTTCTGGGTTTAATATTATAAATAGGTTACTGCGTTTATAAACAGAAATATATTTGAACAGATTTGATTAAAAAAAAATTTAACTACAATTGTAGAACTCAGACAAACCAGCAGGGGGCAACCAATCAACATAAGATATTGAACTTAAACATTTATTTTCTCATAAATAGAAAAGAGGAAACCATGTTTAAAGCAGGAAGAGAATCTAACTCAGGCTTAAATTATTAAAGATGATCCCAGTGGTTCCATTTTTAGCAAGATTCACGAGATAAGGGTGGGGGGCATTACATTCTCATCATAAATCATGATGCCCCAGTTGGCTCCATGAGCAAAACACATCACGCTGGGAGGTTACGTGAACAAAAAAAGGTCACATGTTAAGCTCTGTCAAACCTTTAACACTACTGTTATCTAGGTGTGTGTGCATCTCTCTGTGCCTGTGTGTCACTTGTTGTTTAAGTGTGCTGGGAGAGTCATAGGAGAGGCCCCATCACTCAGGGGGTGGATGAGCAAAAAGGGTAATACATCTTAGTCTTCAGGAGCCAGACTGAGCCAACAAGTCACTGACGTGGGAGCCTGTTACTCATTCCAATTAGGATCTACGGTAAGGATACAGCGGGGGGGACTTAACTGGAAAGGTTAGCCAGAGGATAGGACATGGAAAGAAACAGGGACAAAAAGGGGAGAAAAAGATAGTAAGTGTTGTTAAGAGAAGAAAACAGCAAAAACAAGTGATAAATGAGTGAGCTGGGAGAAGACCAGGATAGGATGGGAACAAATGAAGGAGAACAAATGGGTGAGATTAAGGAGAAGGAGAAAACAAGAAGAGTGGAGGTAAGAGCAGCAAAGGAAGAAGAGCAGAGATGGAAAGGAAGAAGAGAAGAGGGGAAGGAGGATGGGGAAAAGAATGACGCACAGAGGAGGCTCAAAGAAAACAAAGAAGTCTGGATGAGGAGAAGATCAAAGGATAGATGACAGGGAGGAAAGAGGGGGGTAAGGGAAGAGGAGAAACAGGGCAGAGAAGAGCAGAAATTGAGGAGGAGAGAAGGGGAGAATAGAAGAGACAGCGAGCAATGGCAAGGAGTTGAAGAGGGGGTGGGGAGGTGATGAGTCATCACCAGGCTATCAGCCCCGGTGGGCCGGGTTGCTGTGGGGGTGGCAGTGTGACACATATGCAGAAAACGCACACACAGGGAGACGTTGCCCGCCGTCATGCTGCTTAAACGTCTCCTCCTGCTGCAGAGGCGGGTGGAAGACAATACAGGGATGCCACTGAGACATGCAGTTGTGCATATGCAGCCCTTTCCTCTGACACACACATGCATATAATGTCGATGGCTGTGCCAGAGGCCTCATTAAGACTGCGAGGATGGATGGATGGTCATAAGGGCAAACAGTCAATACAGCTGTATGAAAAACAACACAAAACAAAAGGAGGAGCACAAGCGCTGTTTACACATTGTGTGTCTCTGACTATTTCTCATATACACTTTCCTCCATCATTCATACTTTATTAGGCAACGCATATGCAGAGGCGGATGTTGTATTAAAAAAAAAAAAGGAACAGATAAAGAGGAAGATGCACAAGTAACACGGCCACGGTGTTACATAAAAAGTTCACCGCTTCGCTCCTCTCACTGCGGCACTATGGTTTGCTCAGCTGCTGTGCTAAGAGTAATATCAAGCTCCTTCTTCTGTCATTTAATTAGCTCATCACAAGGACCCACGGTGCATTTTCAGTGTTCTTGCACATGCTTTTACTCCAATCATACAACTGAAAATTGGGGGCGGACACCTTTCAATAAATCAAATCACTTCCTCTGTAACACGCGAGCTCCTGTCACTCTGCGTCTCTTTTTTAGTGCTGAGTCGATTTCAGAGTTGCCATACCAACAGATTGAGGGGATTCCTAATCCTGATCTGGGCCAGTGAGCGCGCACATACGCTTCAAATATGCAAACGTTGGACGCGGCGCGTGCAGGCTGCGTGACGTGGTGTTTCTCCCCTTCTAATCGCGGCACATCGGTTTTGTGTGCACGTCTCCCGGCAGATTGCGTGAATGGGAGCAGAGCCACCAGTTGATTGGGTGGTGATTCTTTAAATTCTTTCAGCATCACTCCAACTATGCAAACCTGCAGGCGACATCAGCCGCCAACCCGAGGCGAGTTCGGCACCAAACAGACACACAAACACAGAGAAAAAAATACTCGGATCACCAGTGAAATTTGAAAACCTCTGTAGGAATCTGTATTTAATCTTGAATTTCTACATACATTCATCCATCTCTGGAACAGAGGATCAGACAGTACGTGTGAGTGTGTGCGTGTATGTAAGATAGACGTGGATGCAGGTTGGGGTGGGTTTTCCAGCTGCCTTCTGCACACCTGCATATTTATCATGTGCTTACAAAATGTGATGGAGGCACATAACATTGGACCGAAAGACGATGATAGGGGGGAGAGGGTGTACACATGTGAAGGCATTAGTGTAGCATAAATGTGTAATCTTGCGCTGAAGTGTGTGACTGGTGGCTAAAAGAGGGCAGTTTAATTCTAATAATTCAGTCATATTTTGAATGACAGCAGAAGGCGCACTGTCAGGGTAGTCTGTAAACATTCTGACATGAAATCTTACTGAATACATATTCAGCTGCAATGACCTGCATAGGTCCCAAATAGAAAACCGACTAGGCTAAAAGTTCTCGAAATTTAGTTTGAGTGAAGCTGTTGTATGTTGTGAGTTTGTGTTCTCACATTGCGCAAGTTAACGTGTGACTGTCCGTCTGCATGAATGCTTACCTATATGTGCATACTGATATGCCTGCATATGCACTATGCATGTACAATATTGATACAAGTACGTGTATGTATGTGTGTATGTTTACACATACTTACAAATAGAACCACATACACATACATGTCATGATGCATGTTACAGGCATTTCTCCATCCCTGCTTGAACGTATGAGTGTGTGTGCTGCTTGTGAATGTGTGTATGTCAGTCGCTGTCTTCTCTTTCATGGGCCTCAGCCAGGGAGCTCTCATCAATATTCTCCAGGCTCTCTGCCCGCTGGATGCTGAGCTCAGAGAGCGGGATGCTGGGCAATGTAGTCTGTTCTGGGTAAAGCCACGGCTTGAAGGCAGGGTTATGTCTCTGCTTCCACTCTGGATACTTCACACAGGCTTTGCAGATCTTCTTCATGGCCTGGAAAGAACAAACAACAACAAACAACAAAAGAAACAACAACAACATGTGATTTATGAGAAATGATGGCAGTGATAGAAAGAAAGTATTTCCAGCAGAAAGCTTGGCCGACACGTACGCTTGATCAATATTCTATAAGGAAGAACAGGCTGAACTCAACAGAGATGAAAAATCCAGAGGACAGAAATAGCACCCATACAAAAATAGAGATGAAGATGGATGAGTGACAGGATAAAGGGAGACAGAAGGGAAGCTGTGAGAGATGGAGGAATCTATAGAGATAAAACATGGGCAAGGGTAAAAAGAGGGAGGAGATCTTGTTCAGAGCCACAAGAACAGAGAGTTTCTTTTTTCCAAATATCAGAACCAAACAAGGGAGCTTCACACATGTCTGATAGTACTTAATGTCAGAAACAACATGCCTGTATGCTTTTTTAAGGGTAAAAAACACAGAGCAACGTGTCTCATACAAAAACAATGGTCCAGGAAGTTACAGCAGCACCCAGTGCATGGCAAGACAATCATCCAGAATATATCTGGATATCTTTGTAACTGCAGAGACCAAAAAAATTAAAAGCTAAAAAGGCAAAAAGAAGCAATTGTGTATTTATTCAGTGTACATCACTCAGCAATTTTTCTTTTAACTATTAGATAATCCTATGATTTGCATATATCTTCTTTGCTGCAACCACTCTCGCTTAAGAGCAGCCGCATGTTTTAATAAAAATATATCTACCAAAAAGGAAAGCAATACTATATACTGTAAGGCCTGCAGTATTTTGACAATGAATTGATTTTGCCTCTGTGCACCATCTCGGTGGATTTCAAATCAAAAATGATGAATCGGATCTGCACTTCAGCAGTATCTGAGAAAAGTGCCGACTTTCAGACTTTCAGCTTTAATTCAAGGTTAGCAAAAGTATTGCATTAACTGTTTCCTTTACTGCCACCCCATTCAGCTGCTGCTTGTTGCCTCTGAAGAATATCCCACGTCTGTTCTGTAAGGCTTCACAATCCATGCTACTGCTTCTGTCAGCAGTCAAGCACGCCCATGCCATAGCATATCAGTGGTTTGCACCTTGTTGTAAACTCTCTGTATTTACATTGTCCTTGACTTAGTTAGACGTTATGAAGCTGTTTTTCTTAACCATGTTGTTGAGCTGCTCAGTGCATTCCTTCTTTTTAAGAATTCAACAGATTGTTGATTCAGCCACTGGCACGGTTATCTCTTTGGACTTTATTTTGAGAGCCTCAGTGTATAGCA